ACTCCTTTGTGGTCTTGATTGTATGATTGAATGTGTGTGGTCTACCTACTCACCTGATGGATGGAGAAACAAAGTATCTTGATTTGAATGTCGATTCCTTACACAGTGCTTTGTCTTTTCATCTCTGAACGGCTGTAGTCTATAGGTTTTGTTGGAAGTTGAAATTCGTTTTCAGGATGGTAGAGGCAGAAACTAGTCCAAGTGGGACTCCTCTTGGTTGGGACTTGGTCACGACCTACGTGGGACCCTTGGGACCCAGTGGGACCGGGCCCAAACAAGAAGAGCCCCTTGGACCCGAATCTGTTAGACATTAGTCCATTCTCTTCCTGACTGAGATCCGGAGTTTTATTCTTGTTGGTTAGGACACCCACTGCCGAGGGGATCTCGGCTGAGACATTTCGCATGCTTTTGGTTGCACTGTCCATGGCTTGACTCGCACCCTGTACACCACTCAATTCTCCATTGTTGCATTTAGTCACTCGTTGCCTGATTTGCTATACGGCCATGGAGCTGGTCAGACTGGACTCGAGAGGACCTCGTATGCAGTCTAATAAGACCAAGTCGCTGGATCAGACCTCTCCTATGAATTTGTTGTTTTGGTGTGGTTTGCTGCTCTCTAGTTCAAATGTAATGTCGCTCTGGCTAGGAGTTCTACCTCCTCTGTCATTGCGCTTTTCAGTTTGTTTTTCTCTAGATTCATTTTCGATGCCCACGGAGACTCGCAACCAGAAAGAAGAGAGAGAGAGGAGAGAGAGAGAAAATGACTGTCTGGAGTGGGCAAAGACTAGGAAACGAAGTGTTCGTCCAAGCAAAAAGGGGAGTGTGCCTCTTGAGAGCCTGATTGATTTTTTTGCTGATTAGCGTCTCTCTAATCCACCTGTGGACGAAAACGGTCCGAAAATGGCCCAACCACACCTAACCTCAGTCCAGTGGCGGGCCCTATTGGATGCAGCCAACGATGCGAAAAAACTGTATCTACAAGCACTCCGAGATAGTGCTATTAAAAGTGAACAGAAGACAAAGGAGGAGAGGAAAGAGTTGTTGCTGAAGAGTCAAGTGACCATCTTGGAAAATGTTCCCTCGCTGACCGGAGAGCAGTGTGGGGAACAACTGCAGTCGATACTCACCGCTATCATTCAAGTCCGGAACCTTGAAGATCATACCACTCAGATCGTCGAAGTCTTCGCGAAATTGCAGACACTTCAAGAGAATCTGACTCATATGACCAGCAAGTATCATGACTTGACGATGGAGATTGCTGAGTTGCGACAAGCCCAAGTGGCCAATCCTCTTCCTCTAACCCCTGGTTCCGGAGCTGCGATTGTAACTAATCTTGCTCCTCTTACGGTATCTTCTTCTAATTCTTCTTCTTCTTCTTTGAGTGTGATGGCAAACCCCTCGGGACCTGCAGCACATGCAAACTCCACTGTTGCTATAACCAGCAATGAGGCGGGAAATTCTGCAACTACCGCAGCCCCAAGATTGGAACCAGCAGGTGCTGGTCCCAACTACGGCGGTCCCTATGTGGATCAAAAGGCGGTGCAAATACCGTCTAAGTATGACGGCAAAGAAGACGTTGAATCCTGGATCAGCTCCATGAGGGCATACTTTGAGGTTTTGGGGACTCAACCTGAGACCCAGTCAGTGATCATGGGAATGAATGTCGGGCCTGTTGTATGGGGCTTCCTAGAAGTCCAAGCTACGCTAGCTGGGGTTCCAAAGATAGAACTAACAAGGTGGCTTAAGACCACCCCGGTTGCCTCCCTCGAAAAACTTATCACACGGTATATGGATCCACATGTTGCAGCAAGGGCAAAGAACCAACTTGACAACATCAAACGCAGCAAGTGGTCGGACTCCATGAAAAGCCTTCAGATTTACCTCAACAAGATGTTCGCCACCCGAGGATTAGAAATGACTGATCAATCTTGCTTGGATGTAGTGAAAGGCGCGGTTCCCACTAACTTTACCAACCACCTAGGCAGGGACTTCATTGGATACACTGACTAGTTTATGTGAGGATTGAGCCCTCAAGAGGGGGCCTTGCCATAATGTACATGTTATGGGCTAAGGCCCCAGCAAGCCTAGTGCCCGCCCTAAGTGAAGGCGGGCCAGCAAATCAACAAGAGCCCTCTGCGCAAACATTTCCTGAAGTGGGGTCCATACAGTTGCAGCACGCAAATTGGTTGGAGTGCACCGAGTCTCGAGTCTCTGCAAATGTGGAGAACCCAGAGCCTCTGAGTTAGTTAGGCCCTGAGCACTTGAACGTGAGGCCAACAATGCATGTTGGGTATAGAGGCCGAAAATGCCAAAGGGAAATCGGGCCACTATCTGAATCTGGCCGCAGGCCTTGACGAAAGAGGCGCAATTGCATTACCCGGGCCCCAACTTCATCGGGCCTGGGTTCAGGCACTGGGGCCCAGTCACAGGCTAAAGGGAGGCCGCCCACACGCAGCACTGGCATATAGGCAAGCAGGGCGAGTGGGCAGGCATTCTTGGCCAATGCAGGCATTGCGGGCAAGTTGCGCTAATGCGAGGTGCTGCGCTGCGCTGGGATGAGGCAGGCTAGCGCTAGGCGGTAGGGCGCTGCCTGTGCACTAGCCACTGTGTGGGTAACAAGGGAGAGTGTGGGTGAAGAGGACACGTACCTGGTGGACGTGGAGGTCGGCATTGGTGTTGACATCATCACTCGCTGGTAATCAAGTTGTCTGGTTGCTTTCATTGATGTAGTTGTAGGCTTAGTCTGTAGAGTAGATAGGGCGCTTGGCGCCATTCATAAGAGAGAGCTACATTGGGTTATGCTGTTGGTGTTGCCCTGTTGGGCATGGACATTGACTCACGATTCTTCTGTATCATTCTCAATTGGATGGTTACTCGGTTCCATTGTGCTATCTGCTCCGGCTTTGACTACTTGGGCTTCAGTGTGATTTTGCATTCTGGATTTCTGTGCTTCGTCCATATTCATGTTCCTTGCAATTTGGTATCGGAGCTGGTTTGATTCGCCATTTACCTTTGGCACGCTGGCGTTATACAGACTTGGTGCGTTGACGATGCTTCTTCGCAGTGGGTACTTGTGACGTTAGGCCACAATAGGCGCACGCCCTGGGTCGAGAGGGGTGCGCCGGAAGGCTAAGACGACAGTGTATGCCGTGGTGACATGCGAAATGTATGATTGGTGATGAGAGCATGCTGATGTGGCATTCGGCTGAGGTGGCACTGCATTGCGTTGTGGGTGGTACCGAGGCCAAGACCGGTCATCAAATGCAGATTCAGCTCAATTGGTGAGAAATCTGTGGTTGGGGGCAACTATCTCCAGGTACGTTGTTCCCTTACCTTATCTACTCTCTCAATCTCTTCTTACCGTGAGGAAGTGAGTCCAACTTCAGAGTCCTCTCTTTTGGTGAGGTGTCGTGAGCGCGCTACCTTGAGAGACGACAATCTTCCCGGAAGCATCTGGAAGGAGAAAGGGTGGTGCCTCTGAAGGTCCCTGGTCGAAGCACTGGGTCACGGTCACCATGCCAACCCAATGGGAGTAGGTCACGCATGCGATGGCTGCTGCCATTTTGGCACTTGCTGCGCTGAATAGAAGTCCTGCCGGGTGTGCCAGCCCATGACAGACGCTTACCAGACCGTCTATAAATATTTCTGGTTGGGAGTTCATTGTGATTCTGGTTGTGATCGTCGTCCTGACTGCAACGTTAAAGAATTCCTGACGAGATGGGGGCGCTCTATAAATTCCTCCTGATCAGCCAGATCACATGGACAGGAAGGCTCGTCGCCGTACGAGGGTAAATAAGAGTGGTTGGGCTGGCTTGCTCGGTAACGACTGGGGCACAGGGGTGGACCGATACACACACGAAGACACTGCTCGCTCAATGATGCTTACCGGTATGTTGGATTGAGGGGAGGGTAGGTTCTAATTGGTGCTCAACTGAATACACAACCATACCCACTCATCATACATCTGCAACATGGTCTTTTTGTATTTTGATTAGTTGGTGGACAGACTGCTAGCACCTCACAGACAGAATTAGATTAGGACTGTTGTATGCTACTATAGCCAGTTCTGTCTAATGCTGCTGTAAGTGAACCAATCAGAGTAGCTCTAAACTATGTAGACAATCTGTTGTGAATGCTGTAGACATGCCACTTGATCGGTACAGTAGGGGACCTGCCGGACACAACTATTTTTAGAAAATTAGGTGCCGGTCAGACACATGTTGTGGTGGGACTCCACTAGGGGGTTCTAGTGCAGTCAATGTTTGCCTAATTCATGAACGGGTCAGATGTCGATGAGGAGAGAGTTGACGATGCTAGACTAACACATGCAAGGTCACGTAGGATCCCGCACGTGTTCCAGGCCCTACAACCAGAAGACGAAAGACACATTCGTGTCGAACGTAGAGCCCGTGCTCTCGCAGCATCGAGAGAGGCAACAAACGTTGCAACTAGGGAACAGGCTGCAGCAGCAGCCAGGGCAACAGCCATGTCTTTTGCAGCAGCATCCTCCACTGCATCTTCTGTTGTCTCCTCGTCTGGACCCCAGTTGGGAATGCCAACAGGGTCCGCGGTCACTTCCAGTTCAGTAGGATCACGTTAGTCTACAAGTCAAATGGCGGGCTCGCAGTTCAGCCCGTTGACTCCTCGCGAAAGGGAGCTCAGGGGGCTCCAACAGGTCGAAAGGATCCGTGAAAGATTAGAGAGGGAACTGAAACAAGCTACCGACAGAGAAAGAGAAATGAAAAATAGAACAGCCAGGCTTGATACATTAGAGGCTGACAAAGCTGAGTTAGAGAGCTTGGATGACTCAGGAATGAATGAGCCCATGAAAGTGTTGAGGAACAACATGCTGTCGCTGCATGCGCACGTGGACAGTAGGTTGGACTTCATGCAGAACACTTTGGACCAGATCCTGAACGTTCTGACCAGGCCAGGATTTAGGCCACCAACACAATCGTCGTTGCCGTTATCGGTGATGTAAGGCCCCTTTCTAGTTCAAGCTGGTACACAACCAAGTGGTACGTCTGCAGCAGTTGCACAGACTGTAGCATCTTCTTCTTCGGGTCCAGCGGTGGGAGCTACACCACCACAACAACCTGTTCCTCAACAGGGACAGCCGCAGGGTCAATGGTATCCTAAGACCCCAATGAAACCGCCTCTTGCCTTCTCAGATGAGAGAAAGGACGAAAAGCTCAACACTTGGTTGAGGATAGTCCCGGTTTGGGTGAAGGCCAAGAGGACCTTGCCGGAGGACGAAGTGGTTACCGTTGCATCTTACCTCGAGGGCAAGGCAGCCAAATGGCTAGATGGAGTAGTTGTAAAGGCCGGGTACGGGCGACGCATGGCGGACCGGGCTAAGTCTTTAACGTTAGACCAGTTCATGGAGATGGTAGAAGCTCGATGGCATAATCCACAGGAGGCACAAAGAGCCACTGATGCGATTAACAAGTTGGACCAACGAAAATTCAAGTCGGTTAGAGAGCTTACGACTACCGTTGAGAGCCTGATCCTCGTTCCAGGCATCAACTACAGTGACCAGTTCCTGTTAACTACGTTTGTTAGATGTCTTCCAGAGAACATCAAGAACTTGCTGGCCAGTGAGGCACGCGTCGAGTACCATTCGTTTGAGACATTGTCGAGGAAAGCCTTAGATTTGGAGGCCACTCTAGGCAATGCTCAACCCTCTCAGAGTGACACGAAGAAGAAGAAGAGTCCTCATGAGTGGAAGAAGAAGGGGGCAAAATTGATGATGGTTGAGTCCGATGGGACTCAAACGGAAATCGATGAGCTCACTGACCTGATGGACTACTCAGAGTACGACGGTGAGGAGACCGCTGAGGGTAGCACCATCGCCGCAGTTGTAAAGGCTAAGGCAGGTGGCCTAGGGAAGGGCCAACCAAGAAGTCAAGGGAAGGCCGCCTCCAATCAGACCAAGCAGGCTGATAGGGTGAAGGCGGGTCTTGATCAAGACGTGTGGCGTGACCGCCAAGTGCGTGGCGCTTGTATCAACTGCGGGGAATACGGTCACTCGCAGTACAAGTGCCAGAACGCAAAGGTTACGCAAAAGATACCCCCAAAGATGGGGGCATCTTATTCTCTGGCTTCTAGCTCGGGAAACGCGTGAGGCCAGTGGAAGTTTTAGTTGCTTCTACTCTTGGTGAAGTGGGCCAGATACCCTCCCCACTTCACGAGAAGGCCAAAGCTAATGACTCCTTAGTCACCCCGCAGACTCATCTAGACCAAACTATGCTCTGTACGTTAGATGTGTTTGATGCCTTAGAAGACTTGGAGAGTGAGTGGTCAAACAAGGACCCTCGCGAGTCTTCGGTGGCGCTAAGGAAAGGTCCTAGAGGGGTCAAACAAGGACCCTCGAGAGTCTTGGGTGGCGCTAAGGAAAGGTCCTAGAGGGGAACATTTCGTGGTGGAAGTCGATGTAGGAGACCGCAAATGTGGTGCCTTCATAGACATAGGCTCCACGCGGAATTACATAAGTCGCGACTGTTTGGAAAGGCTGCACCTACAGGACCGGGTACGACACCTTAGTAGACTTGTAGCATCTACTTTGGCCTACCCTCTCCTATGGAGGAGGCGAACTTAATCATAAGATTTCGTTCTTGGTTAGCGACGACTTACCATTCGACATGTTGTTAGGCATGTACTACCTCGAAGTTGCTAAGCCCCAGTTTGACTGGGATAAGAAGGTGCTCAAGCATAAGTTGCCCGATGGCCGAACTGTCAGATTGACTAAGTTCAAGGCCAATAGCATTATAGATACCTACGGCTGATTGTGCGCATCAGCGTTCTACAATTACTATAAGCAAACCAAGAGGAGGGTATGTACCTTGTGTATGTCTCTGAGAAAGGGAAGGTCGTTAAAACATCCCCAGAGATAGAACGCGTCGTTGCTAAGTTCCCTGATCTGTTCGAGGAACCCACATGAGTTGTTGAAAGGGAAGTTGTCCACGCTATAGAAATCATTCCAGGGAGTAAGMCCCCAAAGGGAAGGATCTATAGGATGGCTCCCGCCGAGTTAGATGAACTTCGGCGACAGCTTAAGGAGCTGACAGAGAAGGGATGGATTCGGCCTAGTACTTTCCCTTACGGATCACCCGTTCTATTCGTACCGAAGAAGGGGGGTACTTTGAGGATGTGCATTGACTATAGAGGCCTCAATGCCATCACAGTGAAGAACGCAGAGCCTCTACCTCGCATAGACGATCTATTGGATAGGGTGCAGGGATGCAAGTACTATAGAAAGATAGACTTGAAATCCGGATATCATCAGATCGCAATAAGACCTGAGGACCAACACAAGACAGCCTTTCAGACCAGATACGGTCTGTATGAGTTTGTAGTGATGCCCTTTGGTCTTTGCAATGCGCCGGGTACATTCCAGCACGCTATGAATCGGATCTTTCATGACCATTTAAATAAGTTTGTCGTGGAATACCTTGACGACATTCTGATCTTTAGCAAGTCTGCCGAGGAGCATGCAAAGCACGTTGAGACTGTACTCTCACTCCTGCGACAGCACAAGTATAAGGTCAACTTAGAGAAGTGTGAGTTCGGTCACACTAAGATACTATACTTGGGTCATGAAGTATCCGTGGAAGGGATTAGGCCGAAGGATGCGAAGGTGGCTAGTATTCGAGACTGGCCACGACCTCAGACTGTCACTGAGGTCAGATCTTTCTTAGGAATGTGCGGCTACTATAGGAACTTTGTAAAAAACTATTCTACTGTCGCCTCTCCTTTGACTGATCTAACTCGACTTGACACGCCGTGGGACTGGAGTGATGAGTGCGAGGGTGCTTTCAAGAGATTGAAGCATGCACTCATGAATCATGAGGTTCTCATGGTTTCCGATCCTCAGAAGCCAATCATAGTGACCACTGAAACAAGCCAATACGACATTGGCGCATTGCTGGCTCAACAGGGTGGGAAAAAGTTGAGACCAATTGAGTATATGAGCAAGAAGATGCCATCAACGAAGTTGGCAAAGTCCACCTATGAAAGGGAACTCTATGCTCTATATAAAGCACTTGTGAATTGGAGACACTTCCTATTGGGAAGGTTCTTCTACTTGAGGACTGATCATCAGATCCTCAAATGGATCAAGACTCAACCGGCTCTTTCTGATGCCCTCAAGCGATGGATTGAGGTTATAGACCAGTATGACTTCAAGCTTGAGTATCTGAAGGGAGAGTATAATAAGGTTGCTGATGCGCTATCACGTAGAGCAGACTACCTAGGTGCGCTAGTTTCCAACTTTGGCGTATCTGATGAAGTAACTCAATCGTTGGTGGGAGCCTATCAGGAAGACCCTGTCACGATGGACATCATTCACAAACTTCAAGCAAAAGACAAGGCCACGGAAAGCGAGTTTGTGATGGTGGACGGGCTCCTCTATCTTGATAAGGCCGTATCAAAATATTAGTAGTTCCATCTAGTGAACCTTTGCGTAGTTTGTTCTTAGGAGAATGCCATGACGCAACAAGACTCTTCGGCTACAAGAAGACGAGTGTTAACCTTGTACAATGATTTTGGTGGCCAAGAATGTTAGATGATGCAAAGAAGTACGTAGAGACCTGTCAGGTCTGTCAGCGGGACAAGCCGCGAACTCAAGCACCGCTTGGGTTGTTGAAGCCTTTGCCAATTCTTGCTGGTCCAGAACAGAGTGTTTCCATGGATTTCATGGACACGCTGGTGACTAGTAAGAGTGGCAAGAGGCACATCTTCGTCATCATCAATCGATTCACCAAGCACGCTAGACTAGTGGCTATGCCAGAGACCGCAAGAACTGACTATGTCATCAAGTTGTTCAAAGACAACTGGGTGCGTGACTTTGGTTTACCAAAGTCAATCGTTAGTGATCGAGATGTCCGATTCACATGTGAGTTGTGGAAGAAGACTGCAACAGATGGGCAGTCAACTTTAAATGACTTCAAGGAATCATCTCGAAGCCAACGGACAAGCCGAGCAAATGAGCAGAGTTGTACAACATTTGCTGAGGCATTACATCAAGCCCAACCAAGATGATTGGGATGAGCAGTTGCCTCTCATCGCCAGCCTGTACAACAATGTTATCCATAGCAGTACCGACATTAGTCCTAATCAACTTCACTTGGGATGGAAGCCTAGATCAGCATTAAACTTCCTCCTACCTGAAAACCGACCCGCTGCAACTCCAGGCACACTTGAGTATGGTGTGCAGTATGAGAAGTTGCTGCAAGAAGTTGTCGAGCACATGAAGAAAGCTCAACAAGCAATGATTGCTTCAGAGAATCAACACCGTAGACAGTCCACATTTCAGGTAGGGGAACGTGTCTGGGTCAAGGCTAGTGAGTTAGGACAGGAATTCGGAATCTCTCGCAAACTAATGCCTCAGTACTTTGGTCCCTGGGAAGTCCTAGATATAGTGGGAGATGAGATGGATGGTCCTACATATGTCATTCGTGTCCCTAGACACCTACGCACTCACCCAGTCTTTCATGCCTCAAAGCTTGCACCTTTCACTGAGACAGATCAATTCCCTTCCAGGAGATCGATGTTGCCCCCAACCATGGATGGTCAAGTGGACATCGACGACATTGTGGATCACAGGGATATGCCTGTTCTGAAGCCGCTGGGTCGAGGAAGACCTCCTAAACCCAAGAGAGAGTATCGCGTCAGATTCAGGCATCATACAGATCCAAAAAAAGATCGGTGGTTTACCAGAGAGGAACTGATTGAGACAACTCCTCAGGTGGTGGCAGATTACGAGAGACTGCTGAAAGGGAAGGCACCTGCGAAGTAAGCATCTCAGTGGACTTTCGAAGCTAAGGGGGATGGAATGTGAGCATTCAGCCCTCACGAGGGGGCCTTGCCATGATGTACATGTTCTGGGCTAAGGCCCCAGCAAGCCTAGTGCCCGCCCTAAGTGAAGGCGGGCCAGCAAATCACCAAGAGCCCTCTGTGCAAACATTTCCCGAAGTGGGGTCCATACAGTTTGCAGCACGCCAGTTGGTTGGAGCGCACCGAGGCTCGAATCTCTGCAAATGTGGAGAGCCCAGGGCCTCTGAGTTAGCTAGGCCCTGGGCACTTGAACGTGAGGCCAACAATGCATGTTGGGTATAAATGCCAAAGGGAAATTGGCCCACTATCTGAATCTGGCCGCAGGCCTTGACGAAAGAGGCACAACTGCATTACCCGGGCCCCAACTGCATCGGGCCTGGGTTCAGGCACTAGGGCCCAGTCGCAGGCTGAAGGGAGGCCGCCCACACGCAGCACTGGCATATAGGCAAGCAGGGCGAGTGGGCAGGCATTCTTGGCCAATGCACGCATTGCGGGCACGCTGCGGTAATGCGAGGTGCTGCCCTGTGCAGAGCTGCGCTGCGCTGGGATGAGGCAGGCTAGCGCTAGGCGGTAGGGCGCTGCCTGTGCACTGGGCGCTTGGCGACCATAGCCGGGCTGCATAAGGGCGCAGGGGAGGTGAGGGCGAAGGTGGTTCTTCGGAGGTGAAGGGCGCTGTGTGGGTAACAAGGGAGAGTGTGGGKGAAGAGGACACGTACCTGGTGGAGGTGGAGGTCGGCATTGGTGTTGACATCATTACTCGCTGGTAGTCAAGTTGTCTGGTTGCTTTCATTGCTGTAGTTGTAGGCTTAGTCTGTAGTTGCTGTAGTTGTAGGCTTAGTCTGTAGAGTAGATAGGGCGTCTGGCGCCATTTATAAGAGAGAGCTACATTGGGTTATGCTGTTGGTGCTGCCCTGTTGGGCATGGACATCGACTCACGATTCTTCTGTATCATTCTCAATTGGATGGTTACTCGGTTCCATTGTGCTATCTGCTCTGGCTTTGACTACCTGGACTTCAGAGTGATTTTGCATTCTGGATTTTTGTGCTTCGTCCATATTCATGTTCCTTGCATTTGCTTTAATGAAGGACATAGTCATTCTCGAGGCTATAGACCTCGTTTCCACAGCAGGCAGCAAAAAACCCATGGGCGGCAGGCGGTTCAGAGGCAGCAACCGCTTTGTTGTGCATGACCTGTTTGAGGCTGAAGAAGAGGCCTATGCAGATGACCCCACTCTTGGTGACGACCAAGAACAGGACGCTGATACAGCCTGTTCCTCGTCAACCTATGAGTCTGACGCAAATCATGAGGAAGAAAAATTCACTGCCTTCAAAAAGACTGCCCATGCTAAGGGACCGAATCGGAATTCAGGGAAGAACTATGTCCAACTTCCCAAGGGAGTCAAAATCCCAGCGAATCCGGAGGACGCAGCCACTAAACCATGGGTTGACGTCCGGATCACTGAAAATGATTGAAGGGTTAGACTCAAGAAAGGGGTATGCCTGCATTGCCAGAAACCAAACCATAAAGTACAAGAATGTTATAGGTCGCAGGGAAACCAGAACCCGACATAGAGTTGACTTCAGCATCCTCTACGACAAGGGAGACTGAATCTGATGCAAATCAGCAGTCCTCCCTTGAAGCCCAATCATCTGTTGATTCCAAGGCTGAAGTGTGACATGCTTTGTATGTCGAGCCTTGGGAGGAGTCTGAGGCGGTTGACTTCCACTACCACTTGGAACATTGGGCTAAGATGAAACATCAGCGTGCCCAAGGGACAGTGGAGCTGATCTTCTTCTAACTTTTCATAAACCACCGCTATCTCCGTGTCTTGATTGATTGTGGGACGACTACTAACTTTATGTCACCACACGGGATAAGCAAAGTGGGCTTGGGAATGAAGCAAGTGCCTTTGCAGAACCCTTGTTGGACCCAAGTAGGCAACAAGGAAGTTGTCTTCTCTACGCATGCAGTCAAAGGTGCGCGCACTACCTTTGACAAGGACAAAATCGTCACCCACGCTTTGAACTTCTATATCCTTGACAAGTGTCCCTTTGACGTTGTCCTTGGCTTGGACTGGTTATAGTCCCGATGCGAATGGACCAAGTGGAAGGAGTCACTTTTCATGGTCAAAGATGCTCAAGGGAACGAGGTTTCCGTCCTCTTGGATGAGAAGCGCGAGTCCCTAGTGACTTTTCTGAATGCCATGCGGTTCTGCAAGAAATGGCGCAAGCACAAGGAGAATGAACAATTGTATGTTGCCTTTGCTCGTCCTACTCATGTGCCATCTACTTTTACGGCTAGTACCAATACTACTTCATCGAGTGATTCTACTTCTAGCCCCTCTACTTCTTTACCTACCCCTAATCTAAATGATCCTACTTCAGATTTGCATCCATTCGCAACCTGCGACCTGATCTAGGTGATCCCTTTGCTGACCCTTCACCCCCATCGGTCCCAACAAACATCCAAAACCTACTTGATCGGTTCCGAGAAGTTCTGGCCGAACCACGTGGAGTTCCCACGCGATCGGTCCGACACACCATCGAGTTGGCCGAAGGTGTTGTTCCTCCAAAGGGTTGCGTATACCGAATGGGATCCGGCAAGTTGGAAGAACTCCGACGACAGATTGATGAAATGATAGACAAGGGTTGAATCAAGCCTAGTGAGTCTGAATTTGGTGCCCCTGTTTTGTTTGTCCCAAAGAAAGGAGGCAAACTCCGCATGTGTATTGACTATCGCGGTCTAAACTGCATCACAAGAAAGAACGCCTATCCATTGCCTCGCATAGATGACTTGCTTGATGTTGCAGGTGGGTGCAAGGTCTTCTCCAAGATCGACCTCAAGTCTGGCTATCACCAGATTGAAGTCGATCTTGCGGACCAGCATAAGGCTGCGTTCAAAACAAGCGTTGGGCTTTACGAGCTTACTGTAATGCCCTTGGTCTCACGAATGCACCAACCACCTTTTAAAGCCTCATGGACAAGGTCCTCCGCAAACAGACTGGTCGGTTCGTGGTGGTATACCTTGATGATATACTGATCTTTAACAAATTTATGGAGGAACGCATAAAGCACCTTGAGGAAGTGTTCACCATCCTCAAGAAAACGCAACTCCTTCTCAACTTAGAGAAATCTGAGTTTGGGAGGGATATCGTCGTTTATCTTGGGCATCGGTTGTCTGCTGCAGGCCTAGAGCCTGAGGCAACCAAGGTTGAAGTTATACGCAATACACCTCAGCCCGCGAACATCTGTGAATTGCGCTCTTTCCTTGGTCTCGCGTCGTACTACCGGAAGTTTGTGCCCTGGTTCTCCATTGTTGCTCGCCAGTTATCCCGGTTAACAAGTAAGAATGTTCCCTACTCTTGGGACACCGCATGCAAGGACGGCTTTCAAGTTTTGAAAGAAGCTTTGGTGAGTTACCCTGTACTCCGCATTGCAGATTCCAAACTGACATTCGTAGTTACTACGGATGCAAGCCAGTGTGAAATTGGTGCAGTGTTGCAACAAGATGACGACGATGGCTTGTGACCGCTCGAATTCTACAGCAAACGCATGCCCAGCGTAAAGGTAGCCACTTCCACCTACATGCGCGAGCTCTATGCTGTGCGCATGACCTTGGACCATTGGAAACACTATCTTTTGGGATGCCACTTCAAAGTGTTCTCAGATCATGAGACTCGAAGTGGATCAAAGAGCAAACTACCCTGTCCCCTACTTTACTTCGCTGGTTCCGTGAAATTGACATTTTCGACTTTGAGTTAAGGCACAAAAATGGTTGTTATAATCGAGTCGTTGACACATTGTCTCGCCATCCTGAGTACATGACTTGCCTTGTGAATTCCTACGACCTCCGAAAGAAATTGAAGGAGGAGATCGTAGAGCACACTGCCAAGGATCCAGACCTTAGTCCCATCCTTGAGCAGCTACGGGCTGACCCCAGCAATCAACCTGATTTTCACAAGTACGGAGGACTGAATTTTCGTCCTTGTGGGAATCATAACCGTTTGTGCGTGCCCAACCATGAGCCTCTCCGCACGCGCTTTCTGGATTTGGCTCATGGCCTGAGTGGACACTTCGGCATGGCAAAGACATACGGGAACCTAGTGAGACAAATTGATTGGCCTGACATGAAGGGATCTGCTGAAAGTTTTGTGGGTGAATATTAAGTTTGTCAACGAATCCAACCATGTAGACAAAAACCCATGGGGCTACCAACACCCCTTCTCATTCCCGATGGTTTCGGGGAGTTTGTCTCTATCGACTTCATCGACATGGGTAAGGTAAGTAAGAACGACTATTCACAAGTCATCCTAACCCTTAAGCAACATTGGCCGCGGGGGGGAGGTCGATGGTCCGCTGCGCGCCGGATTTGGGGTCGAAGTTTCGGCGCGGGCCGGCGGATGAAGGCGATCGACGGCGGGTGGGCGTGCAGAGTGGCGCACGTACCAAATTGTTCACAGCGCGCCACTAAACACGAGACCGCGCCCACGGGGCCGGGTACACGGCGGGCGTCGATGCGGATGAATATCTCGACGCGCCCGCTGTCGATAGCCTTTCCGTGTCAGTTTGTGTCCGACCCCCTTTTTTTTATTTTTTGTTTTCGTGTTTTAATATATTATATTTTTCATATTTCTCATATATTGTCGTTTTGTTTCGTATTGTTTTTTTTTTTTTTTTTTT